GGACCCCTACCGTCCACCCCAATCCCATCATGAACAGAGCCACTGGAATTCCAGATACATAGCCCCAGTATGATGGGATGACATGTAGCCCCTGTTACTTATAGGTGAGAGCTTGAAGCCAAGGAGCCTGGCAAACGGGCATGTGCCTCTAGTCCCAGCCTTAGCTTATGTAGTCAAGCAAGAGCTAAAGGCTCAGAGAAGCTCCAAGGCCTGCTGCTGAGGCAGACTGCTTGGTCTGAAATAGATCCAACAGACTTTAGAAACATAGACAGTGGCTTGGGTTTCTCATCCATGGATCCTGTGCCAACTGCTAAAGGCCAACCATACAGTCCCCAAATTGCAGACAAGGCCTCCACAGAGACCATAAGACCATCAGAGGTTTTCCATCCACACTAAGAGAGCCTCCCAGCATCAGCAGCCCACCCTTCACAAACTGTCCCTTTAAATGTCCAGAAGGCTGAGAGTCACGGCATAGGCTCTCATGAAACCAGGCCTGGGAGCAGCCAAGTAGCCAAGACATCATGGCCATGCAGAACCTACAGATAATCTACAGACAACCTTCTCTGGGGTTTCTATTTCCCACTCTCTACTAGAATTGGCACACTCCCCGATGCTGATACTAAGACCTCCTAAGCTAAGAACTGGGCAGGAAGGAGTGGCACCAGGAAGTCCCTGCCACCAGTTCTGGCAAATTTTCCTCCTCTTAGGATGCATATCACACCTGCCCACTGTCCCCACAAGGGAATGGACCCAGCTGTTCACCTGTGGCATCTCCAACAGGCACCTGCTTAATCAACTGCTGGCAAGTAATACTTCCTTAGTGGGATGTGCGCCAGAGACCTCAAGAAACATCAGTAGGGGCCAGAGGAAAGAGCCCACAGAGAGGACAGAGGAGGGTAAACACACTACGAAAGGTTCCAAATGAGCTTGGTGGAGGAGAGGCTATAGGCTGAATGACCCAGGAAACTCCTGTGCGGGTGGGGGAAGGCACTTAAACTGTCCAAATGCAATGCTGGGGTTCATGCATAACGTAAAGAGAGAAGGATGTGACTGGCAGGGACAATGACTCAAGAGGAAGCAAAAGGACAGTTTCAGAAATGGATCTCTTTCCATCAACACACCCTTCTATCTTAATGGAGGAAATGTATGTTTGTATCGCTCTTGGCTCCTTTACACATTTAATCATCTGTGTGCACACAGCATGGAAATCAGAGGACAACTGTCAGCAGTCTCTCCTCTCACCATGGGAGTCCCAGGACTAAACTAAGGGCATCAGCTGTCGGGGCTCATATAAGACTGGCCAGCCCCCTTAGGCTCACATTTGAATGCTCGGTCACCAGGGAGTGGAACTCTTTGAAAGGTTTAGAAGGATCGGGAGGTGTGGCTTTGTTGGAGGAAGTGTGTCACTGGGGGTGGGTTTTGTGGTCTCAAAAGCTCATGCTGGGCTCAGGCTCTGTCCGGAGGGTCAGGATGTAGCTCCTAGCTACTTCTCCAGCCCACTGTCTGCTGCCATGCTTCCCACCATGATGACAACCGTAAGCCAGCCCCCATTAAATGCTTTCTTTTGTAAGAGTTGCCTTGGTCATGGTCTCTTTACGGCAATAGAAAAGTCCAGAGGGACCACCTTACCAGTCCTCTATTGTTCCTAAATGAATCTGACATGGATAGATTACCCTTAGAGAAGTTGAATGGCCATGCATTCCCCATCCCACAGACATTTATGTGTTACACATGCTGCTCTCTGAACAACAGAAACACAAGACTACTACAACCAGCCCTCTCTCAAGGTCCCTAGTGAGGTTTAAGGTCAGCATCTCTACCTCCCCAGGAACAAGAGCCCTCTGTCTGATAAGAAGGTGCACCTCATATCCTAGATGCTCTGAAGGCTAAACTGCCAAGTCTCTCTGCTCTGAAGGGGAAAGTTCTGGGTGCGCTTTCACAATTGGAGGATGGGATAGAGAGCTCAGGAGCCTGTCTGGAACCCCAGAAGACCAGCAGCTCATTGTCCCCATCAAGTCTCCCAGGCCGGTGAGTTTAGGTTCCCCTCTAACACAGAAGCTCTGTGCTCTCCCTCTTAGCCAGGCACGCACTGGGGAGCACCAAATGGAAGCCCCTCAAAAGGGTCGTGAGGGTGTTGTCCTGGGCTGCAGAGCTGGTTCAGTGATTAAAGGACTTGCTGCACAAACATAAAAGCCAACGTCTGGATCTCCATAACCCACAGAAGGACTGGGTGGGCATGACAGCCTGCCTGCAATCCCAATCTCAGAAGGTAGAGACAGGGCAAGCTCTGAGTTTAATTGAGAGACCCTGCCTCCATGAAAATGGCAACTGAGGATGATTCCCAACACCATTAACTCTAGAGACCCATATACATGCATGCATACACACTTATGAAGACCCACATACACTCAAACATACATCCACACATGCATGCATATAACACGAACACGAGCACAAAGACATGGAAAAGGAAAAAAAAAAAAACTATAATCTGACAGCCACAAGTCCTGGAACTGGGCCAGGGTGGCTCGTTCAGAGGTCACCCAGAATCAGAAAGAGCAAAAATTGATAGGCTTCTGGGGCATGGAAGATGCTTGCCAATAGACGCTAATTGATGTACTGCGTAAACAGTTTCCTTTTCATCAACCTGTTTCCTTAACTCTTAACACAAGGATTTGGTCTAACCTTTTTCCACCTAGGGGTTGGTTGTCTGGGAGGCCTGGCTGCCCAGGTTCCAATCCTCTGCTGGGGGCTCTGACAGGAGCCACCTGCTCCAACCTCAGCTCCTTACATGTAACATGGGAAGAAGAGAGCACTGACTCAGAGGTCCGCAGATTCATGTGAGGCCATCCCTGACTTGGAGTGAGGATGCAACAGCTATTAGTACACTACTCAGTGCGCTTGGAGCTCCTGCAGTCAATACACTCATATTTGCAAATGAAGTCAGTCCCAACAACCAGCCCTTCCCATCTTCATTGGTGCCCTTTGGGTGAAGAGACCCACCAGACCCCACAGATTGGGTTAAGTCACAGCATGCACACACTGATGGCCTGGTGCATGGTCTCAGGCACACAGACTCAGGCGAACCCCAACATGCCAAGCAGCAGGTGTGGTCACTGCAACAGGACAGGGAGGACAAGCAGAGAGGAGTCAGGCCAGGGGCAGGGGCGGGACACATGCAGCCCATGAGAGCAATGGCGGATCCTTACCTCCCTGGCAGGACCTCTGACCACCAGGACTGTGTTCCCCCAAGAAGCTGGAGGCATGCTAGAGTAGAGAGCAGGACACAGAGCAATATGTACTGAGCAAGGCTGATAGGAGACAGGGCTGAAAAGGAGCCCCAAGGGAGAACGTTCAGTCAGAACACCCACAGTTCAGGTGGTTCCCAAGAGACCCCGAAGGCCGGAGCACCAGAAAGTGACTCCTTCCCAAGACCGGCCAGTGCCACGGGCACAGAGGAGGGGAGCAAGCAGGAGATAAAGACCAGTTCAGACTGGGCATTACTATGCGGGTACTTGCCCTCCAGCCCACCTGCCCAGGGAGAACAACGCCATAGGCTTTCTAGGATGATGTGGGCTCAGTAGGGAAAGAAAAACCTCAGGGTCCCTCCAGCCAGAGTCCAGGTCGTCCATAGATACTACAATTACTCCTATGAGGACCCAAAGCCCACAGAGGAGCGTGCCTGTGTCTGGACAGGGAGGGAACACTCATTTTCCAATGCCAGCATCACAGACTGGAGGTCCTGGTCCTCAATCCATCTGGGGAATTTTGTGCAAGGTACATTTCCTCTCTAGGCCTCAGTTTCCCCGTGTAGAACTACAGTAACATTTACTCTACCAGTGCCAGGCTCCAAATCCAATAGGAATACAGGTGGCTTTTCTAGACTTTTCTCTGAGGGTTGACTTTACTGGAACAGAGAGATGGTCAAACATCCCAGAATTTCATCAGCACTCTGGGAGGTAGGGATTTCACTACGACTAACAAACAGCAGGCCTTTCCCAGGGCACAAAGTGTGCCGTGTGTGTGTGTGTGTGTGTGTGTGTGTGTGTGTGTGTGTGTGTGTGTGTGAGTGTGTGAGAGAGAGAGAGAGATAGAGAGAGAGAGAGAGACAGGCTATATGTGTGTGTGAGGGGGATGAGAGAGTGTGTGAGAAAGTGTGTGTGGGTGTGTCCGTGACAGAGAAAGAGATGAGTGTGTGTGTGAGAGAGTGTGTGTGAGAGAGAGAGAGAGAGAGTGTGTGTATGTGAGAGAGTGTGTGTGTGAGAGAGAGTGTGTGTGTGTGAGAGAGAGAGAGTGTGTGTGTGTGAGAGAGAGAGAGTGTGTGTGTGAGAGAGAGAGAGAGAGAGAGAGAGAGAGAGAGAGAGAGAGAGAGAGAGAGAGAGAGAGAGAGAGAGAGAGAGAGAGAGAGAGAGAGAGAACACAGCTGGGAGCCAGTCCCCTTCATGAAACTCCTCTCACTGATCCTGGGCCTTTGCCCTGGGAGGGTTGAGAACTCCTGCAGGACAGGAAGCCCTTATCACTGGATCTCTGCAGCAGCAGCCCCTCTCTGCTCACAACAGGGGCCCCACACCTGGAGAGTGATAGACTCCAGCAGTGTCAGTTACTAGGGCAGGCCTGACAAGAACTGGCACACCCTGTAAGGTTCTTCTTGACCTGGTTACACAACTCAGCTGGTCATGAGAACCCTGGGAGGGCTGGTATGCAACCTCCTTTTACAAATAAGTCAACAGAAGCCAGGAAAGGTGAAGAGGCAATTTGCCCAAGGGCATCCAGTTTGATAACTAGTTCTCAACAAAGCCCAGGTTAAGAACCAGAGTTCACAGAATCCCTTGAGACCCAGGCTGTGTTCCCTGAACAGCAGTGTGTAGCCACGGCCTGGGGTTAACATCGGGTGCCACCTTGCAGGCCCACCGCCCAATGCCGCTGCCTGCTCTAGCACACCTGAGACCAGAGTGGACCAGCTGGGCAGTGAGGGAATCCAAACAGCTGTGCACAACTACCTTTGATGACAAACGCCTCTGCCAGCAGCCGCATCTGATACAGGGGCTTGTTCTCCATGGGTATGTCATCAATCCCAGCCCGTGCATACATGCTGATGGCGTCCCGGTATGAGCCCTCCACATAATGCAGCTTGCCCAGGATCAGCATGGCCTCACACATGTACTGTGGCTGCAAGGACAAAGATGCGTTAGCGGTCTCTGCTCCAAAGCTTCTACCATGCCATCCTACTGCCTAAGACCTTGCTCAGAGCTCTCCTTCCTCCTCCATGAAGTCCTCCATGATGCCTGTGCCCATGGCCTCCACAGCTGCTGAGTCCACTGTCTACACTGTGGCGTGTGTGTGTGTGTGTGTGTGTGTGTGTGTGTGTGTGTGTGTGTGTGTGTGTGGTGTGTTTTAGCTGAAATTAGGTGAAAAGCTTTAGAAAGAGTCCACAAGGACCCTGAAATTGGCACCTACACCCCTACAGCAGGACTTTTAGAAGGGGGACCAGCGACATTAGCAGACAGGACAGACAACAAGAGGTGAAGACCTGCTGGGTCACCATGCTCATTTTATCAGAAGTAGGGCTAAGTATGGAGCCTGGGAGACCCAAAATACCTAATCCAAACCCTGCTCTCTGGAGCGCTGTTTATATGCAAGTCTCCACCCACTCAGAGGACTCTCAGGGCCTCCTTAGGGGCTCAGCTGGTCTGCTTGGCCCTGGCTAAACTATCCTAGCAGGGGATGTCACTGTTAATTCAGCCAGTAGTGCTGACTGAGAGGGGCTAAGCTGGTCTGGCTGGCCAGGAGCCCTGAATGATAAGCTCTAGCCTTAGATGTGAGTCTATTCTATTCTGAAGATTTCCACCTCTTAAGAGTGCTTGCCTTGTGCACAGCAGGCCTTTTACACCAGGTTTGGGCCATTGCCCTTGGCACAAGGGCACTCTGAAAATTAAGTTCTGGTTCCAGGCCCTAACCTTCCCCACTGGCAGGAGGGTGATTTCCAGTCTGCAAGTGGGTAGGTAAGTCAAGGTATTTTTATCCCAGGGCATGCCTCCATCAGTCTAAGCATCATCCTCCCTCAGAGTCCAAGTAAGACACACAGGGTGAGGCAAAACCAAGCCCCTCACAAGCCAAATTCTCCATCCCCACTACTCTCTCTGATTTTGGAGAATTCTTTCATCGCCTTCACTCACTCAGAACCTTTCCCATGCCTGTCCACATCGTCATTTGTTCCCTCAGCCCCACCTCCTCCTGGAAGCCTCCCCAGCTCCCAGCCACGGAGAAGTGAAGAAAGGTATACAGAATAGAGAAAGCCCAGAGGCAAAAGGTAGTCAGGATAATTTAAGAAAAGCTGGCAAGAAACAAGCCAAGTTAAGGCCGGGCATTTATAAGAAAACATAAGCCTCCATGTGATTTATGTGGAAGCTAGATGGCGGGCCCCCAAAAAGAGCAAAACACCAAAAAGAGTTAAAAGAATAAAAACAAACAACACCTCATAATGTCTTGAGAAGGATCCTGTTCTGACTACAGTTAACTCTCAAAGGCTATTTTTTGTTTGTTGGTTTGTCTTGTTTTTGTTTTTAAGGACATTTGTTAGTTTCCCCAAAGGGACCACCCACTTCCTCAGTTAGGGTCACAGGTGATACATCCCCAGAGGGATCCAGCCCACAGGTCTTTGCCCTTCCACGTGCTGGTCTCAAGCTATAGGCTCATGTCCTCAGCACCCAGCCCCATCTTCCCTGTGGGTGAAGGAAAGAAAATAACAGCCAGGCCTTGCTTCCCATGTCAGGAAGCTAAGGACATTAGCAGGGCAAAGCTCTGAACTGACCCTGAGAGAAGAGCAAGATAAATACAGGCCATGGGCAGTGATTGCTGGAAAGGACATGATGTGTGGGTGTGGCTGCTGGTAGACCCCTGAGCACAAATGACAGCATCCTAAAATGAAATATTTACTACTGTAAAAGCTGCTCTTGATGGCAGGAAGTATGTCCATCCTGACCTCTGTTGTCAAGCTGTCTCTCTCTTATGGAGCAATGGTAACCATACAACCCCACTGCTGTATCGTAAGGGTTTTTTTTTTTTTTTTTTTTTTTTCCCTTCTGTTTTGTTTTGTTTTTGTCTTCACTAGGCAACACTGAAAGCCAGCTACCCTGACTGAATTTGAAGTGTTCTTGGACTGTTGACCTAAACAGTCAGAACCACAAATCCTGGACAAGTGGAAGGGTACTTGTAAGACTTCCTCAGCTTAGATTAAAGATCTCCCTGCTAAACAGATCTTTAGTTGCCTGTCCTGTCTCTGCTTCATGTCCCTATACCCTTCCAAAGATGCCCAATAGGAAAGAACGGACGAGAAAGCATTTCACTCTGAAAGTGAAGCCTGGAGAAGCCATCCTTCAATTAGTCCAAGTCTTGTGGTCATTGTATCTCTACTCTAGTTTTTTGCCAGGAGACAGCACCCAGAAGTAGTGGGTCCCATCAGAGCTACAGATGTCACAGCAGATACAGCCATATTTGCTACGTGACTGCCTCTCCCAGGTCACAGAAGCCCAGCTAACAGCATGTCATTGTAAAAAGTATCTGGGAAGCCTTGATAAATGCTTGCAGTTCCTGAGCCCAGTGGATAGAAGTTAGCATGGTGGCTAATATTCACTCATCTCCACAGACTTGGGCTAGCCAGGACTTCAAGGATCACCCAGATTGTAACATCAAGACGACAGGAGGAAGCACCTCAGGACTGCCCGCCCCGTCTCTATCAGAGGAATCCACCTGAGCATATCTGGTGCCTAGAGACCCCGGCCCCACCCTGACCTTTGGAGCAAGATAACCTGTAGACTCACCGGCAGCTTCCCATTGTTCAGGACGCTACTCAGGTGATCTTTGGCTTCGGTCAGCCTGTGCTCATTCTTCTCCAGCAAAGGGATAGAGTCTTTTATTTTGTCATGGTTATCCTTCAAACACTGCTCCAGGAGGGCCTCTGCTCGCAGCAATTTCCCGAAGTCATCTGAAAAACAGGACACATCCTTGAGTCCTCGAACGTGCACAGTGGTCCCTAACTGCCCCTACCCAGCAGGTGAATGGCTCTGTTCCAAGAAATAAGAAATGCATTTCCCATAAGCTTTGAGGACTGCAGGGAGTTCTAAGCCATGGAAGAGGGAACCTGTATGGTGTGTCTTAACAACACAGTTCGCTCTCCTAGTTTCTGAAGTCGAGTGCGATTGATTTGCCCCATCTTTAGTGACATTTGTATGGCTTGGGGTGACCTAGCAGCCAGAGCAATGAGTGAATGCAGGTCATTGAACATGTCCAGGACTTTATTTTCAAGAGTCCTCTCACACATAGGAGCTCACGTGCATACCTCATTACCTGGCAATTAGCTTTAGTGGTGCTTTCCCCCGACCACGATGAAATCCCAATCTTGTCACTACCACACTCCTGCCACCTATGACAAAGGGGCGGACACACAGACATACACAGACACACAGACATACACAGAGTCAGACACACACACACACACACACACTTCCCAGGGAGCCAGATGTCTGGTGTGCAGCTTAAAGTCCAACAGCCTAGGATGAGGAACTATTCAATGGAAGAGCCTAATAAATGCCTGTCTGGTGAATCAGATCCCAGATCTCAGGAGAGAACGCCAACGGATGCAGGGAGCTATGTCAATTCCATAGTGTGTCTAACAACATCCACTCTGACCAACCTCTTCACATTGCTTTCAGCTGCCACACTGGCTCTGTCCTGAGACTTCACTGCCTTTGCTCAATCTCCTGTAAAACACATCGCACCTGACCCAAACTTTAGCACACAGTCAGTCACATGAGGGTCGTTAGCATCACCAGACCCTTTGCTACCAACTTCAAGATTTTAAAAATTAACACTTTGAGAACTTGCCTATAAATGTGCCCCTTTCAAACTATCATCCAGTGCAAATGGAGCAAATGTTGAAGAAACTTCTATAAGGGACTACTTGGCAACACCCTACAGATGCCTTTGCACATGTAAAACAACCTATTCGTAACTCCTCACTCAACAGCATTTACACTAACAAAAAAAAAAAAAGTAGACAAAATGTAAGTCCACCAATGGAATTCTGTATGTGGCCTGCAGCCACAAAAAAAAAAAAAAAAAAAAAAAAAAGGAACGAGGAAGCGTAGTCTGTGCCACTGTGGAAGGGACCTCAAGTTAAACTGTTAACAAAGCAGAGTGAGGAACAGGCAGGCAGGCAAATCTCTTTTTAGTCTGAGGTCACCCTGGTCTACATAGCTAGTTCAAGACCAGCACGAGTTACATGGGTGAAGTCATGATAGTGACAGAACAGCATCAGATTTCTGCAAGTTCAAGGCCAATCAGGGCTACTTTGTGAGACCCTGCCCCATAAAAGAAAAAAGAAAAGAAAAAGGGAGTGCACACAACAATGCCGGTAGTCATAAGCCACTCACTGTACGTTGTTTCTCCATTCAAGTGACAGAAACACACACACACACACACACACACACACACACACACACACACACCAGAAAACCTTGAGAACAGGCTGGAGACACAGTGGGGCTTTCCACTCTTGGGGCACCTTTGGTAGGTTTGAACTTCGTGAGTATACTACCTACTCAAAAATTAAATTTAAATTTAAATCAACTAGGGCTGGAAGGCAACCTTCATTTCCAAATCTCAGCTTTGAGGCGCGGCGGAAGTCTAGCAAAGACGCACATTGCTCAGGGCTCTGCCCTGCTTTGTGAAAGTCACAGCAGGGTTCCAAGCAAGCTGTGTCCCTTCTCCGGGTGAGAGGGCCCCGCCCCTTAGCCCCAGGAGCGTCTCCACCCTCTGAAGCTTAACTCAGCACCTCCGCTCAGTGCCAGCTGCCTCTGCTACTCACCTAGCTGTCCCAGAGCTCCTGGCCCCTCATCTGGACACCTTTCACGACAAAAGAAACTTGCTTCTTCGCTCCCAGAACTGCCCCTCTCCACAAATGGGAGCACTCTCTAAAACTGCCCGCCCAGGGTGGTGTGCACCGGTGCAGGTCTTGGCTTATGACACCCCCTCCACGTGTTCGAAAACTGGAGTGCATGTGTAGAAACCAGACAAAGCACTGTTGAATTGACTGCATCAAATGATTATTTTAAAAAATCAGAAAGAAGGTGGAAAAACTGTGTATTTTTTTTTCTACGTTTTTATAGAGCCTTGTTTTTTGGGAAAGATCAGCGGAGATGAAACTTAACCAAAAACTACCCCCCTCCAAAGTGATGAGTGGTGCTCTAAACTCTGAGGGACTGCGTATTTGTCGTGATCCTACTAAGTGCCAGGCATTTTATCATATAGTTTTATTTAACCTGCATAGCCCTAGAAGGTAGGTAATAGTCCCCCATTGTAGTTCATGAAGCAGTTTTGTTAGGGTTGTAACCAACAGCACAACACAGGCAAACAAGAAGTCACTCCTGCATCTCAGAACAGAGATCATGATAACTTAAAACAAAAACAACAACATTTACTTAATATATGTGAGGGTGGTCTCATAGACTGGGGTGACCTTTGGCCATGTCTGGCTTGTGGAAGTCAGAGGACAACCTGTACGGAGTCCTTTGAGACTCACTTTTCACCACATATGTTCAAGGATAGAACCTAGGTCATCAGACTGGACAATAAGCACCTTTAGTCCCCGGAGCTAAAAAATAGTCTGTAATCTTCCATGATTAAACTGAAAGCTAGTAGTAAATCCCACAGCAGGGGCAAGCAGCTTGCACTTTACTACCCAGAGTCAGCGTTGTTTTTGTGTGTGATGCTAGGGGTTGATACTGAAGTAGCTTCTATCAGAGCTGTACCTCCAGCCCTTCTAGCTGTCTACTTTTGTTCCTCGGGGAGGGGTCCTCCCTCTCAGTTGCCTCCACCACCAAATCTGTTGGCTTAGCAGCTCCTCTCTCAGCGGAGGTCAGAATTCATTTTATTTCCTTTGCTCAATTCCTCGTCTCCTTGCTCCCTCCCCTTCTACCCATCCTACAGTTCTTCACTGATAATTCTACAAAACTAAAGGCACCTGGGAACCCCAGGTCCTCAGTTTTCAGCGTCAAGTGAGAGTTTGGGTGAATAAGCACACACCTGTCCTCCAAAGGCCAAACCTGCTCCCCGCTCAGGCCTGGGTCAGAGCATTCAGCTTCTCTTGTCAAGGTCATGAAGCTGGTTTCCTGACAGACCTATGGCAACCCCACCCCATGCTTGCCCTTAGCAGAGGCAAGAAAGCCTCATTGAGGGGTCACCACATCTCCCCTGACTGTTCTGAACACCTGTGATAGCTGCTCTCCACCCAGGCTTCTTGAGCTGTCAAGGGGCAGGTCCCAGGATGCCCTTTGGAAGCCAATGCCTCCTACCTGGCCCTCACATTTGGAAAACACATGTGCACATTTGCAGCTGGGAAGTGTGGGTCAAGGGAGCCCTCTCTCTCTCCACAGCCGACTGGCAAGGGAGTTTCTGTGGCTTCTACCCAAAGGCTTGCTGTGACTGGGGCCTTCTTCCATGATCAGCCTTGTGAGAGGAAGGAGAGAACACCTGCTCATACATTCACACTGCAGTTGTTTAAAACTTGAAGAAAAGAAAAATCATTCAGCTAAAAAAAAAAACCCCAAAACCAACAGATGGGGGTTTTGAGAGAAGGTAATGGTAGAGTGGTTATCTTTTTAATGCATACTGCATTAGTAAAGTGTGAGATAGCAATGAGCTGAGGAACCACAGTTCACCAGGATCATTAAGATGGCTCAGCAAGGAAAGGTGCTTGCTAACAAGTCTGACAAGCTGTGTTTGATCCCCAGGCCCCACATGGTGGGAGGAGAAAACTGACTCCTACAGACTGTCCTCTGACCTACACACACACACCAAATTAAAATGTAAGAGTGTTCATGAGTTCATAACCCCTGAAGCTGGATGCTAATAAGATGAGCTTCCTTCTTTTTTCTAAAAATATTTTGTAAATGTGTTTCATAATGAGGTGTTAACAAAATGAAAACATTGGATGGCTGTAGGACAGCTCAAGTAAAACTTGCTATTATGCCTGAGCTAGATCCCCAGACCCTAAATGGTGGAAGAAGGGATCTGGCTTCTGCATGAACGCTCTGCCTTCAAACACACCTGAATGAAGTCATGAAAAGAGTTGTTCCCAAAAACAAATCAATACCAGGGCGGCTTTGTTTTCACGGGACCAGACCTCAGGCCACAGGCGGTGCTCTGTAGTTCCTCTCCTAAGCTCACCAAAACGACACCGGATGTGAGTTTGAAGAACACACACAAAGGTTGGAGTACCTCCCCATCTCCCCACGGTGGGAGCAGCCTCCTGGGTCAGGAAAAAGGCTGGGGGGGGTATGGGGGGTGGGGGGTGTGCTCTGTTTCAGCTTCTGCACCTTCAGCCAGCCTGCCCAGGAGCCAGCACCCTCTTCCTCACCTCCTGGCATCTAGGTTCTGAGGCCACTCAGCCTCTACAGAAAGCTCTGGGACCTCTGGGGTTCAGCCACCCTCCCTTAGGACCTTCTGCCCTTTTCCACATAATGTTGCCATCAGGTCAGCAACTGAAAGAGTCTGGCAGGGCAGGTGAAGTGTTTTTTTGTTTGGTTTTTGGTTTTCAAGACAGGGTCTCACTATGTAGCCCAGGCTGGCCTGAAACTCATAGAGATCCTTCTGTCTCTGCCTTCTTCCCAGTGCTGAGAATAAAGATGTATGTCATTACAACCACAAAATAAATAGATAAATAAACAATACAAAGATCATCCTAGACGGGCATTGGTGGCACAAGCCCTTTGATCCCAGTACTCAGGAGTTCGAGGCCAGCCTAGTCTACAGAGCTAGTTCCAGGACAGGCTCCCAAAGCAATACAGAGAAACCCTGTCTCGAAAAACCAAAAAAGATCATCCTTCCTATGCAGTTAGGGGGATTAACACCAACATTATTCTTCCCCCTAAATAGGGCCCCATTCTCTTGAGCAGCTAAGAAATCCACAGAAAGAGAATGGAAATAGCAGTCAATCCAAAGATGTTCTTGCTCTTTGTTTTTTCCTTCCTCTGGTTGGTGCCCGCATGTATGTATGTGCACACATGTGCACAGGTTGGGACAGAGCTGAGGAGAGGCCATGTGTCTTTACTGGTCAGTCTCTCCGTTTATACTGGTCAGTTCTAGCTTCAGGTCCCAACTCCACCACTAATGCCAGCTTCCTGGTGAAGACTCATGCATAAACAGGCTCTACCAATGTGCACATTATGTGACCTCTTCCCTTTGGTGTCCCCACATTAAAGATGGTGGAGAAAACCCCTAACTTTAGGGTAATTAGTAAGAGTTTAACTGTATCTATTTCCCAAAGGGGTTCTGTAGAAGGTAATCTGGTTAGGTTTAGAAAATGTGGTACTTTGCCTTCATTTCACATTGGGCAAGCACATTAAGAATCTGGTAAGTATTCAAAGTTGCTCCTGGTTACCGTCGGTGCTGAGCAGATGCTGAGCATCAAACCCATGGACTCCACCACTCAGCTCCAACCTCTTAGGTGTGTGTGTGTGTGTGTGTGTGTGTGTGTGTGTGTGTGTGTGTGAAAATATTTCACCAAGACACAGCCCAGAGACATCAAACTGCCCTCTGCCTTTGTCTCCCAGGTGGTGGGACTACAGACATGTCCAGAGGTCCTGCTGTCTGATTTTAAAGTTCATCTTTGAATCCATTATTCCCTTCCCTTCTTGGCTCCTTAGTCTTTTTCCTCCTGGGACAATGATTAGCCCAGTGCTGAGCCTCCTCCCTTGGAATGGCTAAAGCAGCACTCCTCCGAGGCCCTGCTTCCTGTCTGTCTGGGTCCAGCACCTTGCTTGGTGGAGCTCAGCCTCACTCAGATTCCCACACCTTACTACCCGTGGGCATCAATTCTTAGTTCCCCCCCCCCTCACCAGCCCCACCAGAAGGGATTCTGCAATTTTCCTGCTGGGCCCTGGAAGAGGGAAGGACTGACAGGCTCCCCCATGGGCGTGCTCAGACAGCTTGTATCCCTGCATGCTGCACTTTCCTTGCTCTTCCCAAACATCACGCAGGACTGCTGCAAGATCTGCAGCTTCTCTGAAGCTCGCTGCCCTTCCTCTGAGCTCTACAGTCCAATCCATAACTGCGCACCATCCTGCCCGCTACCCACTCTGGGCACTCTGCAAGGGTGGAAAGTTTGTTCTAGGCATCTTTGAGAACACAGCACAAACGAAAAGATGTACTCAAGATCCCGGGTTCAGATTTCACAACTTCCTAGCTGGATGATGAAATTATTTACCTATAGAGTACGGCAAATAGGAACAGTTGTGAGGAGTGATAGCTTGATTAAAGTCCCGAGGACTCGTCTGACACAGTAAGCAATGGCATAGGCTATTTCTGTTATTATAATCATTCCATCTCTCCTACAGAGGCGTCCTGGGCTGGGTGGTGTTGGGAAACTCTTTACATCCAGGCTTCTTTCAGAAAAAGTAGGTGTGTACACGCGGGGAGGCGACGCGCGGAGGCGGCGGGGGAGGGGGGTGCTCTGAACCGCTCTCAAGGCAAGTACAAGGCACCCGAAACAGGATCTGGGGCTGGAGACTGGGCGGGGTGCTTTCCCGCCCCAGCACGAGAGAGAGCCCAGCCCAGCTAAACCAGCCCTACTACCAAAGCCCCTGCCAGGGCTGGAGAGGGCCAGTGTCCGCCACTGGAGAAGAAACTGAGGATCGCAGGCTTCTCCCCGGACCTACCCTCGCGCTCAACAAGCCTCGGTCAAAGTCTGCTGTGGACAGAGCTCAGTTCTCTATTTGAGGGGAAAATAAGAGAAGACACAGAGGAACAAACTCAGCATGAGGGAGTGTAGGCAGTTTAGGGTGGCAAGAGTCCCGTCCAATGCACTTCTGTGATGCCTCCAGGTTACCGTAGGGTTACCTACGAAACCTTAAAGGGCTGAGAGCACAAGCTTTTTTTCTCTCTTCTTTCCAAACACCCAATCTGCATGCCATTTCTCTCTCTCTCATCTGGGCAGAAGGCTTTCCTAACTGCTTGGTCTGCGGGAGGGTAGCGCTCGAGACAGTCGGTCGAGCAGCAGCAGCGCTTCCTGGAGGAGGCCGTGCCCTTCGCGCGCTCGCAGCCGGCGAACCTGCCCAGCTTCCTTCACTCACCGGTGTCCAGAGAAATGAACCTGCCGCTCGGGCTGCTTCGCCGGTTGCTACTGCCGCCGCCGGAAATGCCCAGCGTCTGCAGATGCCGAACCAGCTCGAACATGCGGTCCCAGTGGCCCTCGGCGCGGCAGCGCTCCATCTCGCTCTCCATCTTCAGGTGGGAGCCGTGTGCGCCCTTCGCAGCCATCTTCGTGCGGGAGCTGTCATGGGAGGTGCGGCGGAGAAGTGGAGACCAGGCCGGGGGCGGCGTCCAGGCTGGGGCACACTCTCCGGCAGGGTTGACTGGAGTGCAGACGGCATCCGGGGCCCCGGTGGCAGCGGGGCCCCGGGTGGCGGCCGGGGGTCCGCAGCAGCAGCAGCAGCGGCGGCAGCGCCCAATGCACCGCCCCGAGCTTCTGGACTGGGACTGCGACTGCGGGACCCCAAAGAATCCAAAAGCAGCCTCCGCCGCTGCTGCAGCAGCTCCTGCCGCCGCCGCCGCCGCCGCTGCTGCAGCTGCTGCCACAGCCCCCGCCCGGGACCTGGGCGTCGCCAGCTGCGAAGCCTCCCGGGACCGCGGCTCCACCCCCGAGTGGGCGTGGCTATTCCCCGCCGGGCCAGGCGCGCAGGCGGTCGGCGAGGCCACAGCAGCCAGGCGCGCGCCGGGCGATCGCGGCCCGCCCTCCGCCGGCCCCCCGCCGCTGTCTGGCTGCTCACTTTAATGCTGCGGGGAGCCCGGGCGCCCGGGGGCGCCTCGCTCCCCGTTCCCTCCCCCCATCCCGTAGGGACTCTCGGCCTGGGCTTCTCCGCCCGGACCGCCCGGCTTTGTGTGCTGGCCCCGTCACCGCCGCTGCCTGCCGCACGTCACAAATCCCAGGAGCGACCGACAGGACAGCCCGGGTCCCGAGCTCCTGGGGATCCCAGCTTGCCCGATGCAACGCGCTGCGCCCACGGGGCTGGGAACAAACCGGCCGGGCCAAGTACCTAGGCTATTCGGACGCGCCTGGCTTGGAGAAGGCTTGTGTTTAACTGCCGGACTCCTCTTTCCATTGGAGGACTTCCTACTGTAGGTGGCTGGATTTAGGTTGTTGCTTTTTTTTTTTTTTTTTTTTTTTTTTGAGACAGGGTTTTTCTCTGTAGTTTTGCAGCTTGTCCTGGAATTGACTTTGTAGACCAGGCTGACCTCGAACTCACAAGAGAGGTTCCTGCCTCTGCCTCCCAAGTGCTGGGATTAAAGTCATGCACCACCACCACGGTCCGGCTGCTCCGGGTTCTTAAACACGGATCCCAACAGTAACTGCTACTTCATTTTGGCGTCTAGAAACTGATCAGAGCTCCAGGTAGCGCCTACTCAGCTCAGCTAGACTCTAAGGCGAGCAGTGCCCACAAGTTCAAAGGACTTGGGGCGGGGCTTGGAGGGAGGGGCCAGGACTATGCAGGCCAGATAGCGAGCTTGCATCTTCACTTTTCGCTCGGTGAGACTGGAGCCGTTAGTCCTTCATGGGAATTGAGGATGTCACTCAGACTACAACTAACACTGGAAACCCCCAAGACCAGTACTTAAGTCACTAACTGTGTGTCCCAGTTTGAAGATTTCCGAGGGTAAGGCATACTTTTCAGTAGACTCCCAGAAACCTCTCCGGAGGTCCTCTCACTTTGTGCCCTTCTACTTCAGGTTTCAGGACAGACATAAGTTTATCAGAGCCCAGGTTCCTGACGCCCTTCATCACACCGCAAGTCCCTATCCAAAAAACAGCTTCTCCGCGGTTATCTTCCCTGGGATCTAAACGCAGCCCCCTTCCTTCCCGGAAAACAAAGGTTCCCCGCCCCTGTGTGCTGTGCTGCCCTGCGCACCTGGGGTGGTTCCTTCGGCACAACTAGATTTCTGGAGGCAGAGAGTGAAAACGTGACCTGGGTGGCCCGAGAACACACTATTTGCCCAGGCAGATTGTTCCTGGGAGTCACCTCCAGGGTAGGGACAGTGAACAGCAGGATTGGCAGAATGGAGGTAGTCTTACAAAAACAAGAAGATCCCCTCTTTCTTTTGTCAACCGGGACGGCAAACACTAGATAATGGCTGCAGAGAGAATCTTTGCTTGGCTCTCTGACTCTGCCATTAGTTTGTGTGTAGGTATCTGGGAGGACACGGAGCTCTGTCTTCAGATTTATTGCTAGTGTTCCTCCAAGTGTCTGACTCTTTCCCAGCAGAGCCAAGACCCTGATCTAATCGACATTTTTCAAGAGAGTGAAAGCCTACAGCAAAAAGAACAAGGAGCAGCTGGGACTGTATTAGTAACATCTGCCAAGGGGAAAGGCAGATAGCAAACTGGTGGGTTGTTGGATGTGTCGGTGAACACCTGCCATCATAGCTTTTGAAAGCTAGAGGCTGGGGGAATCAAGAGAATTCAAGGCTACACTAATGTGTTATAGGCCAGCCAGGGATACACTGCAAAAATCTTAGCGGGAGGGGTGGGGGCAGCACATGCCTTTAATCCCAGCATTGAGGAACCAGGGGCAGGCTGATCTGGTCTACAGAATGAGTTCCAGGACAGCCAAGAACTGTTACACAAAGAAACTGTGTCTTGACAATCAAAAGAAGAAAGGAAGGAAGAAATAAAATCAGAAAGAAAGAAAAGGAAGGAAGGCAGAAAGAAAGGAAGGAAGGAAGGAAGAAAGAAAGAAAGAAAAAAGAAAGAAAATGAAGTTCATGGGATGGAAGGGAACCTGTCTGGCCTGGAACTCACTGTGTAGACCAAGCTGGTCTTAAACTCAGAGGTCTACATCCTAAGAGCTGAGATTAAAGGTGTGCACCACCACAATGAGCAAAAGTGTGTACTTTTTTAGTGAGCAACAAAAACTCTATGGCATAAGACTTAAAGCAGACCTGAAAGCCAATGTAACTGCAAACTTGACTGCTATCTCTAGACAAGGAAAAGGGTTTGCCCCTGAAATGCAAAGAAGTCTGCAAAAGCATACTGATGGTATTTGTGAAGGTAAGGGCTTGATGAGACCTCTCATACACTTGGACCTAGAAAGGTTTATGATACTTAGGTGGGCCTGGAAACATACAGCATCGAGAGCTAATCCTAACTCACAGAAAGCCTATATATGCTTGTATCCACTGGGGAAAGGTTACTAAGGACTTGGTTAAGTCAAATTAACAACATAGAAAATTCTGAAAAGATGGGATCAAAAAAGTTACTTTTCTTGAACCAAGAATCCTCATCATTGTCTTTTTTCTAGTTTGTCTGAGAACATTTGCAGTGCCTGGTTTTCTAGAATGAAGGGTTTACCTCTATGGAATAAATGTTGCCTTTCCTTAGAAATTAACTGGTTTGTGGCACTCTAAGTAAGTACAGGGATGAGCCAGGCTTACAGCTCACCTCCTTTGGGGGGATGCAAGAAAGAGTCACCCACATACTGAATAAGAAGAGTCCCTGGGAACATTATAACCCTTGAGTTCTTGGTTGGACACTTGGGAAAAGGAGAGGTGTACCTCAGTGGACTCCAAGGCACAGAAACCCATATATAGTGTTGATTTCCTCTAGAGAAGAAAAATAGAGGTGTTGAGGGTTTTCGAGCACATAAGAATTGCAAAACTCTGGGACCTGTGGAGAGTGATTATTTTATTATTTGTACCTATTTCAATCATGAATTTGTAAGGTTATCTTTCTAGAGACATGTTTCCTTCTGGGGCTTAAGGATAAAATGGGAACGTGAACACTCTCACCTGTGATTTTTCTGATTCCCGGTCTCTTAAAATACGCTGCCTGGTTTGGGAGGTCTGGCTATAGGGCTATTTCTCACTCTAGTTTCTGCTTGCATAGTAAATCCTCACATCTTCTCTTTATGGTTTGAAGTTAGTCACAAAAACAGACCAGATAGAATGCACCTGCTTCCTGACCTACTGAATGCTCTCTAGTCAGGTTCCAAGGGCCTCTCCCTGAAGGTTCCTCTCTTACCCGAACATGAAGATGACCTTCTGAAGGCCTTGACTAACACCCATAGCTTTTCTAAACTTTTTAGATAAAATTCAATTTTTTAAAATAAAATTTAATTTCTTTTAAGTCACTTTAGAAGATTTCCTATTTTGATTTTTCATTGAACTTTCTGCATTTGAAGTATGATGTGGGATGTCCTTCTGTGTGCTACAAATAAGTGTTGCTTTTATTGGTTGATGAATAAAGCTCTTTCAACCAATGGCTAAGCAGAGTAAAGCCAGGCAGAGAGAGAGTTGAGGAGATGCCATGTAGCTGCCGGGAAGAAAGACACCAGGGTATCGTCCGTAAGTCACAACCTTATAGTGATACACAGATTTGTAGAAATGCGTTAATTTATGAGAGAGCTAATCAGAAATAAGCCTAAGCCATTGGCCAAACAATTACAAATATACTAAGTCTCTGGTTATCTTCTAAGTGGCTGCAGGGACTGTGTGGGCAGAAAGAAACCCAACTGGTGGAACCAGGCTACGACAGAGAAAAGTCTCCACATACAGAAGTACCAACTAGCAAATGAATTAATTGGTATATATCTTAAAGATACATTCTCAAAACAATTCTAAATTCATGAATGAAACTGTAATGTAACTGTACCATAGAGATTGTTTCCCCTTCTCTTCTGATGAAAGATTATCTTTAAGAGGCAAGTTTTTTTTTGTTTTGTTTTGTTTTTTGTTTTGTTTTAATGGTGTCTGGCTATCCAAGAGAAAGGAGGGGCAGAAGGAGAGATAGACAGGGCTGAGGCACATGGGGTGGAAGGAGAATAGAAGGTTTGAGCTGCGATGTGTGGTGGCCTAAAAGATGAGAGTTTGCTGTTTATGTTTTTGTTTTGCTTTGGTTAATGAACCATTCATGAATAATTTTGGAATCTGATTCCTTCTGGATGCTTATGCTAATAAAAATGAGAAGAAGAAGAAGAGAAGGAAAAAGAAGAGGAAGAAGGAAGGAAGAAGAAGGAAAAAGAAGGAAGGAAGGAAAGAAAAGAAAGGAAAAAAAGAAAGAGAAGACGACTAACCCTAACTCTAGACTCCTGGATGTTGACAGTTTTGTTTCCCTCTGTTCTAAATCATCTCTCTGATGAATTTTGTTCATATAAGAAGTTCAGTGTGGTAACCACTTTATTTCTAAAAAAGAAAAGAAGCAAGGGAGACTTACACAGGGACAAATGCATGAGAGCCTGCAAATGGTGAGCTGGTTGCCGGTGCATTGTATGTCTCAGAGGCTCAGGCAAAAACAATCAGTAGTTCTCTGCAGGAGAAGCATTTGGAAAGATTCTCCAGGGTACATGGGCAAAATGAAACAAGCCCAAGGAACATTCTCTTCAAGTTTTGAACAAAGACAAAATTTGCCCCATGGCAAGTTAGGATTGGCACATCGGATCCACACATTTCCTCTCTACTAGATTCTCAT